CGAACGCAGCAGCAGGATTACCTTTAGTCTCCACTGCGACTATCCACGCAACTACTATCGATCAAATACCTGGATCTGTACAAAAAAAATTATACATAAGCGTAGTATGAGCACACCACCGCGGTGCCCAGTAAGTATCAAGACTAACCTCGGCGGAGTAGTGACGAGGGACAGTCCAGACACCTACTGGTCTAATAAATTTAACATGATATAGTAATAAACTAACAATGGTAAAGGCAACAAAATAATACCAATAACAGAGAGAAATCAAACTACAAATAGTAGAGACAATAAAAGGGAACACAAATGGTAACGTAAGATAGGCAAGTAAATTAACACCAACATAGCTGGGACACAGACAAGTAAAATGTACTTAAATAAAGAAGGCGATGTTAACTCAATCAATCACATCATTTCTGATGCACAATTCCAACCATCTCAAAACTCGATGTCTCATATCATAACCTCAATTTCCAAACCTTTAGCACACACGGCACCTTGTGCCCACATATTTCTATCTCACTTTGCACAACGTCATCCTCATGCTACTTAGTACATAGGGTCCATAACCAATGCAACTAAGATGTTCAAGGAGTCTCATTTATATAACATAAAGAAGATTACAGCTTCTAAACCAATTAGGAAATCAACAAGAAAATACGAAGTTATTTTTAGAAATCATTTGAATAAAGAAAATACCCTTTCCAAATAAAATACAACATCGAATGAATTATTACCTTTAATATAGGATTTAATAAACTTAGTAGAAATTCCTTTTTAAGTAAGATTCAATATCATTGGGTTAAGAAAATTTAATTGAGAAACTAATTGAAATAAAACATAACATTTATAGGAATTTGAATTATTGAAAGGTGCATATCTACACGGCGAGTTCAAATTTAAAAGTCATATATAGCAGCGTAATACTAATTCCTTTATTTTAAATCACGATATTACTAATAACTTAACAGGACAGGAGGAAATAATTCAACGTAGTAAATTTACTTTAAAAATTAATTCACCAGAGTAATAGTTTCAGGGAAAGAATTCAAGAAACAACGGCAAGTCATCAACTCAATGCCAATAACTTGATCCTCACAACTCAGTGATACCCGAAATACAAATTGTCAAAGTTTTAAACAAATGAACTATGGTCTTCTCAGTATTCAGCTATAACCAATTCCTAAAGGAAATGTAAAACCACCGAATAACTTGTACAGTCAAAGAGGAATACATAAGCATATATGTGCGGCGCGCATCCAGATCCCACCAATCTTCCCTTATTCCTCCTTAACAATTACAATAAGAGTAAATAGTATATATATCACCATATCAGTAACAACATGATCATTCACTCTTATTACTACTTGTTGCAGCGTGCAACCCGATCCCACCAATCCACCCTTATTACTCCTCGATATATGTCACCCTTATTCCTCCTGTTACGGCGTGCAACCCGATCCCACCTGTCCACCCTTATTACTCCTTATTGCGGCATGCAACCCGATCCCACCAGACAACATCAATTCTCCTTTATTCCTCCTCAACATATCAACAACCAGACATAGTTTAAAATCAACAACAACAATAATTCAACAACCCAATCACAAGGATTTCTACCACCAAGAGTATGAATACACCGCAACAAGAGAATCATGGAAAAAACCAAAAAGCATAACAACCTTGCTTGATATCGGGAACCCGAGCTGATCGTCTTCTATTCTTATTTTCGACTCGTAATGGTTATGGACATCCACCCATGTGGTTGCTTGGAATTTTAGCAGGTTCTCCTTCAACTTTCGGGAGGCATCGGAGCTATAAGGATTGAAACCTTTTGTGAATGCCTCTGCTATCCACTCATCTAGTACATCCGATAGCAACATCCTCTCTTTCTGGAACCGGATCATGAATTCCCACAGCAATTCGGACTCAACCTTTGCAATATTGAATATGTTTGCCTTCTTGGCCTGGACCTTCCTTGCCCCGGCATGGGCCTTAATGAATGAATCTGTAAGCATTTTAAAAGAGTCAATCGAATACTCGGGTAGGAGTGAATACCACGCCAGGGCCCCCTTTTTGAGGGTTTCACCGAACTTCTTCAGTTTTGAAGGGATCATTCCTGTTGTCATTACCTGATCCGCTACCGATCTCTCCGGCACCGTCGAAACCGACCTCACCCCTTGGGGGTGTTATTATGGACTCTTTGAGCCGTTTGATTTGTGGGAATGCCGAGAGGAACCGAACCCCTTCCGTTTGCATTATTGGAAGCGCCCGACAAAGCTTGTTTCAACTCCATCATTACCCGATACTGCCTTGAGAGATGACTTATGATTGCTTTCTGCTGTTCTCTTAAGATTTTCACTGTTTCCACGATATGTTCCTCCTCCGCGTCATCAGGAGTTGGCTCTCGCACATGCCGGAGTAATGCCCTTCATGAACCGGGGTTGCTTATCCCCTTCGTTACAAGTATCGCTGATCGAGTTGAAACAAGCATTGTCGGGCGCTTCCAACGTTGTGTGTGATGTTGACATCATTAGCTCTCGCACATTCCTCAACGTTGTGTGTGATGTTGACATCATAGCTACCATTTATGATATCTTTCTAAGGAAAAAAAATCAAACAAGTTAGTAATAAAAGTAAGGATCAAAGCAATTATGCAACTGCCTAAGCCCCACGGTGGGCGCCAACCTGTTTACCCGTAAAATGGTACAGTTAAATTTGATACGTGGTTTATAGAAAAACGAACTGATTTGATTCAAAAAAGATAGAGAAATAAAATTAAAAATGAGACTTAGCAATTGAAATTAAAGAAGATGTCAAGCCTGGCTCCGAGCGCAATGTCTCCAAGGACAAAAAAGGAAGCAATGATTAAAATCAAATAAAGTTTTTTAATTGGGAGCAAAAGTAAAATATAGTGTATGTTTGCCAAGAATTTTGTGTGTTACGATGGCTGCTGAGTCTGCTGTTTATAGTTATGCCTAGGGAAACAAGATCCTAGGATCAAGCCCCACTTAAATGATAATAAAGGGGTTATTGATGAATATGTAACGGCATGTCATAAATGCAAATATTCTCTCCAACGGTCACTCATTTAATATGAGAGAATATTCCCTCATTGAATGCTATCCGATGACAGATACTTGATCTACTCCCGTTGACTATGCTTCCTCCGGGATTTACCCAACGTCAATTGCAGCTGTCATATCCGGTACTAATTGTTACTTGGCTTGCCTTTTGCTGTCCTCGATTCCACATGTCATGCTATTATTCGCTCATTTATTATGAACCAATTTTATCCGTTACAATACATCCCTTAAGAGAAGATAAATGAAATGCATATTTTATCATAAGGGTAAAACAGAAAAAAAATAATTTTTTTTATTGATTTGCTAATATTGACAAATAAAATAAAAAATTATTTTTAGTATACAGTACTATGGGTGTCTAACGGGCCGGGCCGGGTAAGGAAATGTTGGAACCGTACGGGTTATGAACCGGGCCGGTTATGGGTTAGGGGTTACCGGGCTTAACGGGTTCGGGTTCATCCGGATAAAAAATAAACCGTAAGGGTTACGGGTACAAGGGGCCGGGCCGGGCCGGGTTAGTGTAATTTTTTATTTTTTTATTTTTTATTTTGTATAACTATTGTAAGTTATATTAATATAAAGTAAAAATATAAAGAGTACAATGAAGGGGAAAAATTGCACTTATAAATTGCAAGTGCTACATTTATTTTAAAATTACAAATTGAAGTTTGCATTTAACAAGTAAATTAACATCAAAAGAGTAAAACTAAATTTTCATGCATAATAATACTTCAAATTAATCTAACAAACTAAAACATTAAGCATAAATACGTCTAATAGTTTTAAAATAACACAAATTGTCTCAAATCAACTTAAATACGAAATTCTGGAGGACGCTCAAGACAACTATTCATATGCCTCCTTAAACAGTGCCCACACACTTTGAACGAAGATTTAAGACTCGACTACAGTTCTTGCACTTTACTTTGTGAACTTCTTCATTTTCTTCTACCACCTCAAAGTGTTCCCAAACATATGAGCGCACTTTAGAAGTACGGGGCATGATTTAACTTGAATTGAGAATTTGAGTTTGAGAAATGAGAGATGAGTGAAGAAATGAAGAAGAGAAGGGGATGTATTTATAGTTTTTCAAAGGGCTAAATTAATAATTACAAAAAATATTAGATTTAAAAAAATTGGCCCAAGAAGGGCTAAATGTGCAAAACAGCCGTTGGGCCAACGGTCACAAAGTAGAAACATTAAAAGAAAAAATTTGGAAGTAGCCGTAACCCGTAACCGGTTCTACAGTAAATCGCGTTGACCAGGTTTGACCGATACGGTTAACCGGTTGCACGAAGGTGAACGGACCAACCCCTTACCCCAGTAACCAGCCCACCCGGCTCCCTTTGTATCGGTCCGGACCGATTCCGATTTCAACCGGTCCGGTCCGGAAATAGGTTGACCCGGCCCGTTAGACACCCTTAATAATAGTACTAATAAGTAAAAGTAAATAGAGAGTAGTTAACGTGGAAAGAATATAGAGTTTGACAATTGCCTAGAGGCGGATGGTCCAGTTCCACTGTACATAGAAAATGTGTAAAGAAAGATGGAAAAAGCAAACATGAATTCCCTTTCATATTCTATTATGTGGCCACGTGGTGACATCCTCCTAGAAGAGCCGAGTATATTTAATTGAGCGTGATTAAAAAACAACTCAGCGGCGACGTTGAACCAAGACTCGTGTCAGAAAAGGAAGGTCGTTAAACACAATTCGTGTTGTTAACTCATTGAACCACTTATCCACCTAAAAATCTTGCTTACACGTGGTACTTTTTCAAACTGAACAATTCATTCGTTAAACCATTTCGACGGTCATGATCTTTTGCTGTTTAGAGTTCTATATTTTGTTCACTGCCCGGGTCAGTGACGGGCAGTTGCCCAGAAGTAGGCCGCCTCTAACCCTACCCCTCTTCCACTACAATAAAGCTTCATTCTTATGGCCCTCTCCTCTCCAATCTGCTCATTATATTTCTCGAGTCTAAATATTGGTCTAATCGATCCTTTTCTTTTATAAATAAACTTCTGTATTGTTAGTTGAATTTGCAACAAAAACATCAAAGTGGAGTAAATTTATTTCACGACGGGAATGTATTTTGGTGAGACTAAGACTGTAAATCCAACTGAACCGAGTTCAGAAGGTGCTAGAAGGCGACGGATGGAAGTTCACCAGTTCCGTTTTGTGGCCAGCGATATGGCCGTGGCTCCAGCTCTGGACAGTGAAAGGAAGAGACAGAAACTGAGTAAACTTGTCTCTGTAAAGAGCTTTGAGATTAAGGAGAAGCGATCTAAGTTGGAAAGGATTGTTTCCCTGCCGCTATCGCTGCCGTGCAGAAGTAATATTGAGAAGGGCGAAAAGAAGGTAGCGGAGAACAAAGAAACCGAAAGGACATTGGATTTATCGGAATCTGCTTCAATATCGTCGAATATTGGACGCCCAGGGGTTTCTGATTATCCCAAATTCGGCGTGACATCTGTTTGCGGAAGGAGAAGAGATATGGAAGATGCGGTGTCGATCTACCCTACGTTTATTCAGGAGAAACATGAAAAATCGAGCAACTTGCATTTCTTCGGTCTCTACGACGGCCATGGCTGCTCTCATGTACGTAATTATCATTAAGACCTACGTCTCTTTTATGCAATTATATTATATTGTCTCTAACTGGAAGTTCTTTTCTTTATGATTATTTTGTATAGGCTGCGATGAAATGTAAAGATAGAATGCACGATATAGTGAAGAACGAGGTTGACAGCGCAGGAGAAGCTACGTGGAAAGAGATGATGACGCGGAGCTTCACTAAAATGGATAAAGAAGTCGTTGAGAATTCGAGAGGAGGCGTTGGTGCACTAACCGCCGATTGTAGATGTGAACTTCAGACGCCGCAGTGTGATGCCGTTGGATCCACGGCCGTCGTAGCCGTGGTAACTCCAAACGAAATCGTTGTGTCCAATTGCGGTGATTCTCGCGCTGTGCTCTGCCGAAATGGCGTTGCTATTCCTCTTTCCACTGATCATAAGGTGTGTGCCAAATCAATTCCCCATATGGTGATTCCTTGCTAGCTGGATTTATTCCAAGTATATTTTCTAAATTTGTGTTTGTTTTTTGGTTTGTAGCCGGATCGACCCGATGAACTCAATCGGATTGAAGAAGCTGGTGGTCGTGTTATCTATTGGGAGGGTGCAAGAGTCCTTGGAGTTTTGGCCATGTCTCGAGCAATTGGTAAGCCATTTTGCTCTATTTTAATCTAGAAAATTGAACCTCTGTAGATATGATATTATAGGTATTATTATTCAATCTGTAGTTCATTTCCCTTATTTATATATGTTTGAACATTTTTCAGGTGACAATTATTTAAAACCATACGTTACATCTGAACCTGAAGTGACCATAACTGAAAGAACAGTGGATGATGAATGCTTGATATTAGCTAGCGATGGGCTATGGGACGTGGTGTCAAATGAGACGGCATGTGGTGTGGCCCGCATGTGCTTGAGGTCCGGGCGACCACAGTCTCCGCCAGGGTCGCCGGCTAATGATGTCACACCAACGGTCTACGGGGAGAACTCCGACCAGGCCTGTACTGATGCGTCGATTCTCTTGACTCGGCTGGCTTTGGCTAGGCATAGTTCTGATAATGTTAGTGTTGTCATTGTTGATTTGAAGAGAGATTTATAGAATCAAAAAACAAATAAATGTACATGTATAGTTTCGAGTTTTTTCGTTTATAGGAAGAGTAAATGATTTCATGTATCAAAGCCCAAAGGCCAGATTTTCCATGGTTGCATCTTATTGCTGGAGAAAATTTCGTTAGCGTGTCTTTACTATTAGTATTCAAGATAAGAAATTGTGTAAGAGAGTTGATGGAAATGTTAGGAGACATTGTTATTAATTAATTATGCAACAATTTGACCTTCTCCATTTCATCCAATTCTACCCTAAATACTTTGCACGCGTCCCTTCACTCGTTTAATGAAACAGATTCGCTTTATTAACCAAATAATACTGGAGTATTAATTATGGTTAGTTACATGTTCTTTCTTGTTCCTTCTCACCTATTTGTGTACAGCAGGAAAGTCTTCTTCCTCTCTAATTCATCTAGGAAACACAAGATGATGAAAAAAAATGAAAAAGGAAACACGAGATGCAACACCAATATTTACGTGTGTAGACCAAAATCCTTGAAGTCTAAAATTTCTTAATATTATTGAGGGAATATTGAAGGTCCCAATTTTCTATCATAACAAGTCAAAAAGAAAAATAGTGAATTTTATAAGAAAAATAAATTATACATCCAAGTAGAGCTACTGTCTTTTCCTTCCCCCAGTATCCATGCCCCTTCCTAGATTTTGGATTCTAATTTGAAGAAATTGAGAAACTTCAATTTAAAAACCTTTCTAATTTGAAGAAAGTGAGAGACTACAATTTAAAAACCTTGCTGTTGTGAAAAAGAACCCAAACCTTTGTTAGATACTATTTCAATTGCATTCTATGGATCTTATTCTCCTCTTGTTTGAAGGATTAAAGGAAAGATTTGTTATTGCTTGATTGTGCATGTTGGTATTACTGTATCTTAGCTTCTTCGTTTCTGGATATATTTGATATAATGAAGGTGTCAATATAATACTTAATCATTTTGCTGTAAACGAATGGGTGAGGAGGGAAGAGAAAGAACAAGTAATTGGTCATAGTTAATATTATTTGGTTAATGAAGTGAATCTGGTCCACTAAATAATTGAAGGGACACATGTAAATTTTTAGGGTAGCTATGCAATGGAGAGATGAGGGACTGGAAGGGAGGCAGATCCCTATGCACTCATTGAAGTAAAACTATTTACACAAACTTCATGGAAATATTAGAAGACAATGTCATCAATCAATTATGTAAAGATATAGAAGACACTAACATTAATAAATAAATTATGAAAAAGAGTTGAGTTTTATGCTTTTACGAGATAAGAACGCTTTCACAAGCTTACAACGTAACTACAATCTACAATCAATATTAACTAATAATTTGATAAAAATTAGTATATTATTGTCACGTGTTAGTTAATTTGTTATCACAGCGAACTAATATTTGATAGAATAAAGTTTTCTAAATGTTGTATGCATATACATACTTAAAAGCTTTGTAAACAATAAATTGCGTCGAGAAAATAAAATTAAAAACGAAAAATATTGTAACAATCGTAGTATTTTATTTCAAATATTTGAGTGTTCCAATCTCTATGAATCCTCTGATTCTACTTTTCGATAATAAGTAAATACAAGGGCCTTTGAGCTTGATCTTGATTATGTAGTTGTTGCCACGAACGATGATCTTGTTCTTGAACTTGACGTTGATTTGTTCTTCGTTATTGAGCTTGAACTTGATTGCTTGAAGCTTGAAACTTGAGGAGGAATTTGCAGCGTTTGATCCACGAGCTCTTTCTTGCTTCTTGTTATAACTTCTGGTCTCTTTTCTGAGTTATGAAGACTCCTATTTATAGTTGTGGAAGGGAAAAGCTATGATAAGAACAAACTCTTTCCGACCAATCAAATTGAAGTGTGACAAGGCCGCATTTGATTGGCCAGAACATGTCACTTGCACACGTGGCGGAGTTTCATTGGCCTTTTAATTTGGCTTGGCATGCCTTGTCATTTTGACACGTGGCACGATTCTATTGGCTCTTTTGTTTGACTTGGCGTGCCACGTCATGTGAAACGTGGCACTAAACTAGGCCTCTAGGAGATGGCATATTGGGCCTAATGAAGTGGGTTCATCATTCCTAGTCCAATTAAATGGGCTAGCCCAGTCAATATTAGTGGACTTAAATAATTAATTCAATTATACTAACCCATAATATTTAGTTGAACCAACATATCTTGAATTTGAAATATAGTTCCAATAATTTTATGGATTTAAATCCAATAAAATTTAAATACCTACAAATGCCCCCTACTTCAAGACTTGTCGGGTATATAATTTGAAGACTAGGCTTGAAGTATCACAACATTTGCTTGTTCTTTTCGATAAATTGTGGACAATAAATTGCGTAGAGAAAATAAAATCAAGACCGAAAAATATTGCAACAATCGTAGTATTTTATTTCAAATATTTGAGTGTTACAATCTCTATGAATCATTTGATTCTACTGTTCGATAATATATAAATTCAAGGGCCTTTGAGCTTGATCTTGAATATGTAGTTGTTGCCACGAACGATGAACTTGTTCTTGAGCTTGAATTTGATTGCTCAAAATAGCTTATGAATAGCTTACGACTATTATACGAATAAAATAGCTTACGAATAAAATAGACTACTCTCAATGTGGCCCGACTGCCGGAGAGATTACTCTCACAATGACCCGACTACCGGAGAGATTACTCTCAATGTGGCTCGGCTATCGGAGAGATTACTCTCACAATGACCCGACTACCGGAGAGATTACTCTCAAAATGACCCGACTACCGGAGAGATTACTCTCAATGCGGCTCGACTACCAGAGAGATTGCTCTCAAAATGACCCGACTATTGGAGAGATTACTCTCAATGTGCCGCGACTATCGGTGAGATTACTCTCAATAAAAATTATAGTTCCTTTTAAGGACAAACCCACGAAGAGGCCAACTTAAGGTACAAAGGGACTTATATGTCCACCTTAAGATTGAAAAGTTATAAAGCTTCAACTCGAGATGACATCAACTTGATGACACCGACTTGAACATTTGGAGGGCTTAAACAATTTAACTTTAAGACCGACGAATTTGAAGACTGAAACTTGAAGACTTCAACTTGGAGACTTGGAGGGCTTAATACTTCAACTTAAAGAGTGGCGAACGTGAAGACTTTAACTTGAAGGCCGACGGAGTTGAAGATTTCAACTTGGAGACTTCGAGGGCTTAATTATTCAGCTTCTCTTTTGCTTTACATTGTCCGAATTTAATCTTAGTGGCAAAATTTTCAGCTTTACGCGCTTGTAACAAAAAATTCATATCTTGTCGTAGGAGAGCCCAAATAACGAACCGTTTGATTTCACGAAAATTGAATTCAATATCTAAAACATATCCAAAACTTAGAATCAAGCACCTTCATAATCGACCCAGATAATATTTTGAAACCAACTTTAGATTCCACCACGTAGAAAATTTCAGATCTGCGCAGTCTCACAAAAAAAATTATATGTTGGTGTAGAAAAGTCAAAATTATGAACCGCTTGATTTCATGGAAACTAGAATTCAAGATCTATGACATATCAAAAATTTGGAGTCAAACACTTTGGGAATCGTCCCAGATATTATTTTGAATCTAACTTTAAATTTCGACACGTTGATAGTTTCAAATTTGCGCTGTTTCACCAAAAACAATTGTATCTTGGTGTAGAAACGTTGAAATCATGAATCGTTTAATTCTTGGAAAATTAACTTACAAATATATAACATATCCAAAATGCAAGACTTAATGCCTTAAGGATAGTTTCAGATAATAGTTCAAAATTAATATTAAATTTTGACACACTGACAATTTCAGATTTGTGCGACTTCACCAAATTTTTTGTATCTTGATGTGGGTATGTTGAAATCACGAACCGCTTGATTTCTTGGAATCTAAATTACAAAATCTAAAACATATCCAAAATGTAAAATTTAATGCCTTAAGGATAGTTTCTGATGATATCTCAAAATCGACTTTGGTTTTTGATATGTCGACAATCCCAAATTAGTGCGACTTCACCAAAATTTTTTGTATCTTGATGTGGAGCCTCGAGATCGCAAGACCTTTTTTTAATTGCTTAATTGAAATTCAAGAGATTCATTCTCATCAAATATCTTGGGTTCAAGTCTCACTGAATTTGAAACATCGTGAAGGCTTCACCAAAAAAACTTGAAGGTTTGGTGAACATGAAGGCATAGCGAATCCCCAGACTTCAATGCAAACATTGTCATCATTTTAGTGAAGACACCATTTTACCATAGCAGCTTGCCCCCCTTAAATCAAATGGGATCCAAAGCTTAACAAAAGAATAGTATCTCAGCTCGATTTTCAGGTGCTGATTGAATGTATTACATTCCATCGTACTTCATTCGAACGATGATTGGGGCACTATGTATCTTTTGAACTCATGCGACTGAACTCAGAATGAAACTCTAAGCTGCCTACGTACCTAGGTGAAGAGGATCAAGTCATACCGTAGTTCAGAATGAGTGATCTTTTTATAGGTCCTAACTTTTTCCTAGGCCGCCTCTTTCGAGGTTTTTAACCTAGTGGACTCTTTTTTTTGTGTGTGGGCCGTACACAGTTTAGACTCATACGGGCCAGGAGTGTAGGAATATTCAATTTAGGCTCATGCGTCAAGGAGCGTTGCAAGTTCAAGGATAACACTTCTTTAAGAATTTTCCATTGATAGGGCGATTCTCATGCCATCTGTATCTACTAGCCTGTAAGCCCCACTTGAGTAAGCTTCTTGTACGACATATGGCCCATCCCATTTTGAAGTGAACTTCCCTACAGGTTTATGGGAATTAATGATGGGTCTTCTATGGCAAGGACTTGATCTCCTACTTGAAAAGATCTCGGGCGAACTCTTTTATTGAAGGCGCGAGACAGTCGAGCTTGATAACATTCAAGACTCTGTTGAGCTTCTAACTTTTTCTCATCAAGAGCCTCCAACTCTGCTAATCGAAGTCAGCATTTTCTTCATTAGTGATGCCTTCATGAATAGCTAATCGTAATGAAGGTATTTGACGCTCGAGTGGCAAAACGTCTTCAAATCCATAAACGAGTGCATAAGGGGTCACTTGTGTTGGCGTACGGTGAGTTGTCCTATATGCCCATAGAGATTCCTCCATACGGTCATACCAATCCCGTTTGGATTTGGAGACGACTTTCCTTGACAAGTTGCATAGAGTCTTGTTGAATGCCTCAGCTAGACCATTGGCGG